TGTTTGTAGACGTGTTGGGCTTTATTAAATTGTTTATTTGTATGAGTTGGGCTTTAGCTGAGATTCTTTACAGAGTCACGTATAATTTGTCCAGGCCTCAATTGTTTCCTTACCTGCACCATTTAATCTCGGTGTTGATCATTCTAATGTTAGAACTTCTAATAGTCACTGTAGCCATTGGCGAATTGGCAGAGAGTCAGGTGATCGCCATCTAAGAACCAGCAGTAATCGTCTCTGATTAATTGATTCAAGGAGCTATCATCGTTAAGTAACAGATGCAAAGCATTGAATATTTGCACTTCATTTAATAACTTTGCCCCAAAAGCAGTTAACTGCAGGGCACTCCCACATCATATGGAGGAATGTGCCTACCTGGTTTAGGGGACACAGTGAACAGTTGGGAGTTGGGGCCAATTTCATCGTAAAACTTTTCCTTGGTGTCATACAGTCTGTATAAGTGTATAAATTGATGGTTCGGATTACGGGATGCCAAGGTCATATTTTTCCATATTCTGTTCCAGTTAAAGAATGTTCAGATTCAATTAGATCTGTGGACCATACTTTAATGGCTAGCTCAGAATAAGAACATTCCAAAAGTTGTTTATATATTATAAAAGTCTGCACTCCAGATCACAAGGAGTTATTGTGAAATATTAGAGTAAGGGCATGACATTTTGATTCCCAGTTACATTGTTTAAAAATGTTGCTCCAAATAGAGATTGTGTGAGCAATAATAGGACCAAAGCGTAGTTTATTGTTTAAGGGATATATCAGTGGAGACCACCTCTTCCAGGGCAATAGGAGACACCATATTACATTGTTTAAGGCAGGGGTGTCAAACTCATTTTAACTCAGGGGCCACATGGAGGAAAATATATTCCCAAGTGGGCCGGACCGGTAAAATCATGGTATATATACAGTGGGGAGAACAAGTATTTGATACACTGCAGATTTTGCAGGTTTTCCTACTTACAAAGCATGTAGAGGTCTGTAATTTTTATCATAGGTACACTTCAACTGTGAGAGACGGAATCTAAAACAAAAATCCAGAAAATCACATTGTATGATTTTTAAGTAATTAATTTGCATTTTAGTGCATGACATAAGTATTTGATCACCTACCAACCAGTAAGAATTCCGGCTCTCACAGACCTGTTAGTTTTTCTTTAAGAAGCCCTCCTGTTCTCCACTCATTACCTGTATTAACTGCACCTGTTTGAAGGTGGGTCGTGGCTGGGTCTTCCAGCATGACAACGACCCGAAACACACAGCCAGGGCAACTAAGGAGTGGCTCCGTAAGAAGCATCTCAAGGTCCTGGAGTGGCCTAGCCAGTCTCCAGACCTGAACCCAATAGAACATCTTTGGAGGGAGCTGAAAGTCCGTATTGCCCAGCAACAGCCCCGAAACCTGAAGGATCTGGAGAAGGTCTGTATGGAGGAGTGTGCCAAAATCCTTGCTGCAGTGTGTGCAAACCTGGTCAAGACCTACAGGAAACGTATGATCTCTGTAATTGCAAACAAAGGTTTCTGTACCAAATATTAAGTTCTGCTTTTCTGATGTATCAAATACTTATGTCATGCAATAAAATGCAAATTAATTACTTAAAAATCATACAATGTGATTTTCTGGATTTTTGTTTTAGATTCCGTCTCTCACAGTTGAAGTGTACCTATGATAAAAATGACAGACCTCTACATGCTTTGTAAGTAGGAAAACCTGCAAAATCGGCAGTGTATCAAATACTTGTTCTCCCCACTGTAACTTAAAAACAACAACTTCAGATTGTTTTCTTTGTTTTAATACTATCAACATAAAACATAAAGCTGGAGCCTGAGGACAGTGTGTCCAAAATAGTACAAGCACAACATCACTATTAATCATAAAACACCTCAAGTTTATTTGAAAATTCTAAAGAAAAAGAACACACAAACACACAATGCCTCAGTGATTCACAGAACTGTTTCACAGATCACAGAACTATATGAGGGTGTCATTTCTCAGGCAGAAATGTAGATACAAATAATGAAATCCTGTTCCCCAAACAAGTGCAAGAACCACAGAGTCAAGAATAGGTTAAATATACAAATAAAATAAATTAAAAACAATAGCACATCAACATAAAAACATATAAACATAAAGCTGGAGCCTGAGGACAGTGTGTCCAAAAGCACAACATCACTATTAATCATAAAACACCTCAAGCTATTTGAAATTCTGAGGACAAACAACACACAATGCCTCAGTGATTCACAGAAGTATATCACAGATCACAGAACTATATCAGGGTGTCTCATGTAGCACTTTAAGTGGGGTTGCATAGTTTATTTAACTCCTGATACCTGGCATCTTTTAGCTTTCACCAGCGCATCAATATCAGGCGTCACATCCTGAGTGGCAGCCAACTTCAGGATGTGATTCAAGTGCTTGTGCGTGAGCCTTGAGCGCAGCTTTGTTTTATTTATGCTCATCACAGAGAACTTGCTCACAAAGATATGTGGTTCCAAACATGCACAATAGTTTTGCAGCGAGGGCTGTCAAGTTGGGGTAACCTGGCAAGAGATTCTGATAAAATGTGTCCAAGCCAGCTACGGCAAATTTGCCCTTCAAATCCGAGTCATACTGCAAGTATATTATTTCAAGTTGGATGCTGACGGGCAGAACAGAGGGATTCACGGTTAATGGCGAACAAAAAACGTTGAAGTCTTTCTCCAGTTCACCAAAAATCTGAAAGCGTTGCTCAAACTCCCTTAACAGTCCCGTTATTTTATCTTTGAACCGCTTCATGTCTGCCACATGTTGGGTCACGCACACATTTTTCAGACAGGGGAAGTGAGCTGCATCACCACCGGCGAGTTGCGTCTCCCACAATGACAGCTTCAACTTGAAAGAACATATGCTGTCATAATACTGCGTGGCAACTTTGTTGCACCCTTGCAGCTGTTTGTTCAAGTTATTCAGGTGCTCTGTAACATCCACCATAAATGCAAGGTCCTGCATCCATTCTGCGGAATGAAATTCTAACACTGGTTTGCCCTTTTCTTCCATGAACTGTTCAATTTCTTCTCGTAAATCAAAGAAACGCCTCAGCACAGCACCTCGGCTTAACCATCTTACCTCAGTGTGGTATGGCAGGCCATAGATGTGGTCTTTCTCTCTGAGAAGGCTGTCAAACTGACGTTGATTCAGGCTTCTGGATCGGATGAAATTAACAGTTTGGATAATATAATAATAATAATAATAATATAATAATAATATAATAATAATCACCTTCATGACGTTATCCATCTTTAATGACTTGCAACACAAAGCCTCCTGGTGCAAAATACAGTGAAAAGTCCAAAAATCATGTCCTCCATTTGCAGATTGCACTTTCTCTCTGAACTTTGTCACAACGCCTGCTTTTTTCCCGATCATTGAGGGCGCACCATCTGTAGCCAGGCTGACAGCGCGGGACCAGTCCACTCCGACCCTGTCCAGCGCGCTGACGAGTGCAGTGAAAATATCAGCTGCTGTCGTTGTATCTGTCATCGGCACCAACTCCACGAACTCCTCGGTGACGGTCAATGTGTCATCAACTCTGCGGATGAAAATGGCCAGTTGTGCAACATCTGTAATGTCCGTGCTTTCATCAATTGCAACCGAAAACGCAATAAATTACTTTACTTTTTGCTTCAACTGGCTGTCCAAATCCACTGAAAATCGGAAATCCTGTCTGCAACTGTGTTTCTTGTCAGGCTGATATTTGCAAAAGCCTGGTGCTTTTCAGGGCACACAATCTCCGCTGCCTTCATCATGCATGTTTTTACAAATTCACCCTCACTAAATGGTTTTGAAGCCACTGCGATTTCATTAGCAATGAGGTAGCTAGCTTTCACTGCAGAGTCACTGATGTCTCGGCTGTGAGTAAACACAGACTGCTGTTTCTTCAGACGCGCCAACAGTTCATTCACCTTCTCTCTTCTCCGCTGTCCTTGAAAGTTGTCATATTTGTCGGCATGAAGACTCACATAGTGGCGACGAAGGTTATATTCTTTCAGCCCTGCAACATGCTGTGAACACACCAAACATACAGCTTTCCCATTCAATTCCGTGAATAAATAGAAGGATGACAATTTTTCTTGGAACACTCTGCATCCACTTTTCTCTTTTTTGACAGAGACATATTGGGGCAATGAGGGTGCCAAAGCACATAATGTTAAAAGTAGAAGCCGTAATAAATATCGCGGGCAAAACAAAGTAGCTCATCCGGACTGGCTGCACTTGCTTGACCTATTTGCTCTGCCCCGGTATAAACAGTTTGCTTGCTTAACACAACTGCTATTGCGCCATCCAGTGGACACAATTGGAACAGCAGTTTCTTTTATTGAAAAATTGCAGCTCATTTTTATACTTTACAAAATCATCTCGCGGGCCGGATTAAACCCGTTTGCGGGCCTGATCCGGCCCGTGGGCCGGACGTTTGACACCCCTGCTTTAGAGAGTGCTGAGAGAATAGACACTTCATCTTGTTATACTTCAGATGATACTGATACAGACTGTCTGGTCAGAGTTATACCCTGTAGTCACCTTTAACAGCTCAAAACGTTTCTTTGACACCCACTTTAACATTAGACCATGCAGTACTAGAGCATCATGAGGAGCCTATGTCAATACGAGAGGCCAATAGACCTGGCGTTATGGTGGAAAGCCTCATCTTTAAAAAGAGATTTAATTAAAACTCCCCCCCCCCCCCCCCCCCCCCAAGTATTTTTTAAAAGGAGCTACATGTCATATCTTTGTGGCCAGCAAATCTCTTGTCAAATTGACTGGGGCTGAGCGATTTGTATAAGTACTGCACGCAAACGGATTGTGCCACAATCGGTTAGCGTGTGGCCTCAGGCCCAGTCAATTGGACAAGAGCCAGTCCGTCTTTTGTTGACAAATAAGAAGGCTGCACCATTAGAATGCAATGTTGTGTGGGCCTAATACACATGTGGTGGTAAAATATTGTGAAACACTATCATTCCACTATTACTGTCTATACGGTATATTAAAAACATTTTCTGAAATTTCTAATGATTGTTTGTAGGACATAAAAGTAACTTTTTGGTACCCCAGCCACTGTGGCAGGAAGATTTACCCAAAATAAATCTACCAGGCTAAATATTTTTTTCACTTAAAATAAACACAAAAAACTGATGAGCATGCTTTGTAATGTTTCTAAAACAATACATATATTACTAGTAAGTAGTAAAGTGGTATATTGTTTAACTTCATTTTTTGTGACCCAAGTCTTTTAACCAAAATATCACAGACAAAAATGTGCCAATGTTTCTGCCTGTGAGATCGAGTCTGACCAGTAGAAGCGTTGTCTTCTCTTCCCTAGCAGTTGAAACCCAAACATAGAAAAGCAACCTAGCATGTGAACAAAACAATGTAAAAAGCCAAGAAAAACAAGGACAGAGTATCACTTCAGTAGACTTTATTTTCAAGTAAATTAGACCAACCTTTATACCCGTGCACAGCGCTTCTAAAATGAAATCTTTCACTCAGCTCTTTACGTACGCACAGCCCCCAGCCAGACAGCGTTGCAGCGCGAGGCGGAACAAGCTATACATCACCAGCTATGAAACAAAAACGGCAGAAATCCTTTGAAAATAGCTACTGCAGCATTTATTTTACTATAAATGTGATCAAACTTGACTATTTTTTTATTCACAAATTCGAGTGAAATGCTCGCACTGTGGAGCCCTGTCCACCCGCCAACGTGGCTGGTGAAATAGACATCTTACCCAATTCCAAAAATCGACCCACATTTGTCAGGTGTTCATTTTAGGCGCTGATTGTTTGCCTCCATTTATTGGGATTGTTGGACATCGTAGTAATGGTTCTCTTCAACGGGTGGTGCCGAAGGATCCATCCCACTCTTCTTCATTTGGACGGCGATGTCAAATAGGTAGTCATAACATTCACACCTGGGACACACGGATAATCCATTACCACACAAACCTCTGGAAGGCACCAATCACGCATTTAAAAACAGTGAATATATGTCTGTCTACACACAATCATGCCACACGTGGAGCAGTGATACATTTAGTCTAATGACACATTCACAGTAACACTTATACAAGCATTAATTGTATACTATTTATAATTATTAGTTAATCACTTATATAAACATTAATTGTGTTACTTCATAATTATTCATGAACTCACATGGTCTTGGCCTTCTCCCAGGACTCCCCCCACACGTAGACGCCGTGGCGCCGGACGAGGACAGCACAGGAGTCTGGGTACTGCTCCATGGCCAGCGCCATGCGCTCCTTCAGGTCCTGCTCCTCCGGGGTGTTCTCAATGATGGGCACCACCAGCGTTTCATCATATCTGCACACACACAGTCAACGTGGGTGTGTGTGCAGAATGCATAGTCATAGGGCCACTATCTAAAAATCAAGTGTCAGTTTCCCCTTAGTGAAAATGTGCCAAAGTTGATGGGCGTTACAAGGTAACATTTGGATTTTCCATAAACTGCCGTCGCTGGACTTTTTCAGTGCATACATTCACACTACAGTCCATTGAGCACTCTGGCTGGATGTTTTCACGCCTGTACTTTCAACTTGAAAGCACAACTACTGCACCTAGCCACTTACCCACCTGTAGTTGGTGCTGGAGGTGCCCTTGCGGATTCCCTTGATCATCTCCTGGTGAGTTATGCGGAACTCCTTGCCGGGATAAAACAGAGTTGCCATGACGGCAGCCTTGGAGTGGGTGTGGATGACGGCCTGAGCCGCTGAGGAACAGGAGGGAGACAGTTAGCATGTTGGCCTATTAGGTCTGTGGGTTTAATACAATACAGCCTCATTCCATGCCTCAAAGATGTTGAAATAGGGCAACTAAATATATTAGCTAGCCAGTGACAGACCATCAAGCAGTGACATCAGCTCCTCTGACACCTAACGTATGGAGCTAACGCTTACGCCAGCTGTGGTTGTTGTTGTGAAAGTGGGTTTGTTTCCAAGGTAAGCCGTAGAACTACAGACCTCACCTCTCATAGTGTAGGCATTCATGAACAGAGAGACCTCACCTCTCATAGTGTAGGCATTCATGAACAGAGGGGTGCACTGGCTCTTCTTCAGCTTCTTCCAGGGGGGTGGGCAGCTGATGTCCCTCTCCTCCACGTCACAGACAAATATGTCATCTGGCTACAGGGTGCACCACACACACACGAGAAACATTTACATATATCTCCAGAAAACTGGTCAAACTAAGTAGCCCATGTTGGATCTATGACGATATGAAAGCAAAACACCAGTCCAGCTCACCTGTATTCTCTCCTTCTGGACTCCAGACGGGGCAATGTAGATCTGATCTCTAGGTAGAAAGAAATGGGGAGGTGAATGTTCATTAGCTAGCCTACATATACATAGATTTTTGTTTGCAGATTCTCTTTGCCATTTTTCATGGCGGGCTGCCATGTTTAACTTAAAGAATGCCATGTTTAACTAAAGAAGAAGTCATGTACGAGGTTTAGAATTAAAAATGATCCAACAATATTAAATAAGAGCACTTACCCACGTCTCAAACTTAGCCCTCCTCCTGTCCCTGTAACCCAGCCGAGTTGGTAGAAAGAACGACACAACTCTGGGATGAGAACCCGTGGATGTTCCTTGTCCTGAAACAAGGTGGTGGGGACACAGTACATTACCTAGACATGTATCATAAAGACCCTTCATTTACCTTCGGGGGCTTGTGCAAATGATGAACGTTGTGATGTGGCCTCTCCTCATGCTTTATGGCTCTCAAACTGGAGCCGTGTGTGTTCTCTCTCTCTCCCTGTTAAAGTCCCCTCTGTTGTTGCTCTCTAGCTACCTTGCTTTGGACTTCCCAAAATATCTTCCTCTGACTTCCCTCATTGCTTCATTATACTCTCCCTCTACTCCCCCTCACTTTCTGTCCAGCCTACAATTTAAAGTGTGTATCTAGCGAGCTATTTGTTTGCAATTTCTGAATGTAAGACTTGTTTTAAGATTGTTAGCTGGCCTAGTTAGATAACCTGCTAATGTTAGCAGCCTTTCTAACGCACCTGAGACTCCGTCGACTCTGAACCCTTTTCCTTGTCTTCATTGGTGGCGTCACAAACAGATGCCATTTTCTTTTGGACAGCTGCAGATCGATCTGCTTTTTCAACCGTTCGAACCAGATTCTTCTTGCGAGTTTTATCTTTTTGAACCGGTGGAACCAGATTCTTCTTCCGAGTTTTATCTTTTTCAACCGGTGGAACCAGATTCTTCTTCCGAGTTTTATCTTTTTCAACCGGTGGAACCAGATTCTTCTTGCGACCACGTCCTGGGAGGTTGACTACAATTCCATGGACAGCATGCTTCCTGATAACATTGCGAACTGTGGAAACAGCAATCCCAAGGTCTCGGGAGATGGATTTGTAACCTTGCTTAAGCCCATGTTTGGTTATAATCAAATTCCTGACATCCTCAGACAGTTCTTTCCCCTTCACCATGTTCACAGTGGTAACGTTATAATGAAGCGGAATGTCCTGTTTTCTCTTTTCTAAACTGGTTGAATGACTATTTTTACCTTGTAAAAATACTTGTAACTTACCACAGTACACGTGTGAACAACGTTTTTTTTTCAATTGTAACTTATTTTTGAAGATGTATTGAAGTATTTGTAAAAAACGTACAAGGGTGTCAATACACTAGAGCGCAACTATAACAGGCTGGCCAAAAAGCAAACTAGATAACTAGCTAACAGCTGCTACTTTAGCATGCAAATACACGTGACATTATTCCTCCTCAACGAAATCTAACAAATGGAAATTTAACAACATATCGTTTAAATACAATATTTCACCACCTGTTTAAATGGAAAAATCCAGTTTTATCGCGTTTTAAATACCTTTGTGTGTTTGTTTGAAAGCAGGGGGTTCGTCATAAGTGCGACAGGATATAGCAAGGACCTCCAGATCTCTTGCACGTGGCCTTGTATTGTGCCTGAAGACAATTATCGAATAATCGCAGAGATCTTTGATAATCGGCTAAAATGAGATTACGCAATTCAAAATCAAACGTGTTTAATTATTTGTTCATATTTGAGTTAGAACAAGTAGATCATATATCAGGGTAATTTCTACCTGGAGGGGGTGGTGCACAAGTATAACTAAGCACTAGGTGGTAGCAGAGCCCAAATAAATGAAACCAAATTTTAATTTTTTTTTTTTTATTTCACCTTTATTTAACCAGGTAAACCAGTTGAGAACAAGTTCTCATTTACAACTGCGACCTTGCCAAGATAAAGCAAAGCAGTGCGATAAAAACAACAACACAGAGTTACATATGGGGTAAAACAAAAATCAAAAATACAACAGAAATACAATTAATATACAGTGTGCAAATTTAGCAAGTTATGGAGGTAAGGCAATAAAATAGGCTATAGTGCAAAATAATTACAATTTAGTATTAACACTGGAATGATGTGCAAGAGATGATGTGCAAATAGAGATACTGGGGTACAGATGAGCAAAATAAATAACAATATAGGGATGAGGTAGTTGGGCGGGCTAATTTCAGATGGGCTGTGTACAGGTGCAGTGATCGGTAAGGTGCTCTAAACCAAATTTATGGCAAGGGCAGGTATTTTTTTATTGTCTAGTTATGAAAAGTGGTGTCTCACTTCCCGACTAGAGTCCCCAATTTACATCATGGTGCTTGCAGGCTGCAGTCTAATTACAGTGCAGATGCCTACTAATATATTATATTATTATTATTATATTTTAGTCATTTAGCAGACGCTCTTATCCAGAGCGATTTACAGTTAGTGCATTCATCTTAAGATAGCTAGGTGGGACAACCACATATCATAGGCATATAAAGTACATTTTCCTCAGCAAAGTAGCTATCAGTAGAGTCCGAGCTAGAACGAGTGCATTTTTTTTTGGGGGGGGGGGGGGGGGGGGGGGGCATTATTTAAGATACTGTTTGAAGATGTTTTCGGAAGATGGGCAGGGACTCTGCTGTCCTAGCTTCAGGGGGAAGCTCGTTCCACCATTGGGGTGCCAGGACAGAGAAGAGCTTGGACTGGGCTGAGCGGGAGCTGCCCTCCCGTAGGGGTGGGAGGGTCAATCTGGCAGAACGGAGTGCTTGGGTTGGGGTGTAGGGTTTGAGCGTAGCCTGAAGGTAGGGAGGGGCCGTTCCTAGTGCTGTTCCGTAGGTAAGAACCATGGTCTTGTAGTGAATGCGAGCTTCGAATGGAAGCCAGTGGAGTGTGCGGAGGAGCGAGGTGAAATGAGAAAACGTCGGAAGGTTGAAAACCAGGCAGGCTGCAGTGTTATATTACTGTACAGTTGTGGTCAAAAGTTTTGAGTGACACAAATACTAATTTTCACAAAGTCTGCTGCCTCAGTTTTGATGATGGCAATTTGCATATACTCCAGAATGTCATGAAGAGTGATCAGATTAATTGCAATTCATTGCAAAGTCCCTCTTTGCCATGAAAATGAACTTAATCCCCAAAAAACATTTCCACTGCATTTCAGCCCTGCCACAAAAGGACCATCTACCATCATGTTAGTGATTCTCTCGTTAACACAGGTGAGAGTGTTGACGAGGACAAGGCTGGAGATGACTCTGTCATGCTGATTGAGTTAGAATAACAGACTGGAAGCTTTAAAAGGAGGGTGGTGCTTGAAATCATTGTTCTTCATCTGTTAACCATGGTTACCTGCAAGGAAACACGTGCCGTCATCATTGCTTTGCACAAAAAGGGCTTCACAGGCAAGGATGTTGCTTCTGATAAGAGTGGACCTAAATCAACCATTTATCGGATCATCAAGAACTTCAAGAAGAGAGGTTCAATTGTTGTGAAGAAGGCGTCAGGGCGCCCAAGAAAGTCCAGCAAGCGCCAGGACCATTTCCTAAAGTTGATTCAGCTGCGGGATCGGGGCACCACCAGTGCAGAGCTTGCTCACGAATGGCAGCAGTTAGGTGTGAGTGCATCTGCATGAACAGTGAGGCGAAGACTTTTGGAGGATGGCCTGGTGTCAAGAAGGGCAGCAAAGAAGCCACTTCTCTCCCGGAAAAACATCAGGGACAGACCTGATATTCTGCAAAAGGTACAGGGATTGGACTGCTGAGGACTGGGGTAAAGTCATTTTCTCTGATGAATCCCCTTTCCGATTGTTTGGGGCATCCGGGAAAACACCTTGTCCGGAGAAGACAAGGTGAGCGCTACCATAAGTCCTGTGTCATGCCAACAGTAAAGCATCCTGTGACCATTCATGTGTGGGGTTGCTTCTCAGCCAAGGGAGTGGGCTCACTCACAATTTTGCCTAAGAACACAGCCATGAATAAAGAATGGTACCAACACATCCTCCGAGAGCAACTTATCCCAAACATCCAAGAACAGTTTGGTGACAACCAATGCCTTTTCCAGCATGATGGAGCGCCTTGCCATAAGGCAAAAGTGATAACTAAGTGGCTCGGGGAACAAAACATCGACATTTTGGGTCCATGGCCAGGAAACTCCCCAGACCTTAATCCCATTGAGAACTTGTGGTCGATCCTCAAGAGGCGGTTGGACAAACAAAAACACACAAATTCCGACAAACTCCAAGCATTGATTATGCAAGAATGGGCTGCCATCAGTCAGGATGTGGCCCAGAAGTTAATTGACAGCATGCCAGGGCGGATTGCAGAGGTCTTGAAAAAGAAGGGTCAACACTGCAAATATTGACTCTTTGCATAAACTTAATGTAATTGTCAATAAAAGCTTTTGACACTTATGGAATGCTTGTAATTATACTTCAGTATACCAATTATACTTGATAACACCACCTTCCGGAGACATTTGAAACCCCACCTCTTTAAGGAATACCTGGGATAGGATAAAGTAATCCTTCTACCCCCCCCCCCCCCCTTTACTCCAACCCCCCCCCCCCCCCCCCCCCCCCCCCCCCCCCCAACACCCCTTATTTTCTCATTAGTGATACCTACAAGTCACCCCACTTGTATCAGCCAATCACAGTCCGCCATTCCCTGTGCACCTACTGAACCTCGCTGCTGTCTTCAGAGTGAGATCGCGGTCAGAAGAGAATGGACTCAATAATACTTTTAGCAAAAAATGTTTATCTTTAATTTACAAACCTGTATAAACTATGAGAATAGAAAGGTTCAGAACTTTAGATACTTTTAGTATCACCATAGTATACATTAAGTCTGTGCCTAAATCAGCACAGTTGAAAAATATATGGCAAATAGAAATCCAATATGGATGGTGTTCAGAGATAGATGGGAGAGGTTGAATGGAGCTGAAATGGTGGGACTAATAACAACAAGATAACTCATGTAAAATATACTGTGTCCGTAAAATGTATATAGGTTCAGAACTTTTGTGAAACAGCACAGTTAAAAAATATATGGCAAATAGAAATCAAACTGGATGGACATCAGAAATAGATGGGAGAGGTTAAGGGTGTTGCTAAGGCGGTCAAGTTCATATTCACCATATTTATGAGGTATTTCCCTTTCACGTGTGTCATGCTACTGCTAGCCAGCTAAGCCAGAATGTTAGCCACTAATGCTAGCTCGTTAGGCTTGGTGATGAAGCTCACGTACCGTTTCAAGGGAATATATATTCTGTTTGTGTTGTCTGTTTATGCATATAGCTGTGTTTATGTACATATACAGTCTTTATGTAGCCTCATGCTACCATGAGCTGTATGTAGCCTTATGATGTACGTATGTAGCCTTATGATGTACGTATGTAGCCTTGTGATGTACGTATGTAGCCTTATGATGTACGTATGTAGCCTTATGATGTACGTATGTAGCCTAATTTAGCCTGTGCTTTTCCTCGTGGCGCAGTTGCTGTTCCACGTCGGTCGTGGTCTTGTGCACATGTGCAGACCTTAGTTACATGGCAGTCATGTTTCAGTTGTTATACGCTTCCCAGTAACTGGGCCTTAGTCCTGTAAGTGTATTCTACTAGCTGTGTGTATTTGGCTTTGCCCCGTTATTTGTCTGTAAGCTTGTATTTATGCTTATTCTTTTCTTGTATCTTTCCATTGAACAACTTTTAGGAGTGTGGCGTGTTGAACCCAATATCTGCAATAAACCTGTTCTGAAAACATGTGATTTGTTCTTGCCGGACCGTCCTGTGGTGGCTGAACCTTATCCACTACCACCCATACCTCTCTACTAGTTATGTTCTACATGGTCCTCCCCAATCAGCATTTAGTATTGCTCACTATGGTTGAAGTCTTTCACTTATAATCTTGCTCGCTTGCTCGCACACACACACACGCACACGCACACGCACACGCACACGCACACGCACACGCACACACACACACACACACACACACACACACACACACACACACACACACACACACACACACACACACACACACACACACACACAAGTAACCATATACAGGAAACTTCAGTTAATATGAAGCATGTTTGGAAATTCCCCACAGGATTAATGATCATTTCCTCATCCTCCTTCCAAGTTACAGACAGACATCTCTTTCCCCATCCTCCTTCCAAGTTACAGACAGACATCTCTTTCCCCATCCTCCTTCCAAGTTACAGACATCTCTTTCCCCACCCTGCTTCCAAGTTATGGACATCTCTTTCCGCTGAAAAAGCAATAAAAACATGTATTGCAGTCACACATGGTTTGTTCTACTGGAGAAACAGGTAAATTGTGTGTCTGTCTGTGTGCATGTGTGAATGTCATGCATCCCTCCATCCGTGTGTGTGTGTGTCTGTCTGTCTTTGGTGTGCATGCATGTTTAACCGGTGTGAAATGACTAGCTAGTTAGCGGTGCGCACTAGTAGCGTTTCAATCATTGACGTCACTTGCTCTGAGACATTGAACTAGTTGTTTCCCTTGCTCTGCTTGGACCATGGCTTTTTGGGAGCGAGAGGTAACGATGCGTTTGTCAGTGTGTTCAGAGAGTCCCTGGTTCGAGCCCAGGTTGGGCTAAGGAGAGGGACGGAAGCAACACGTTACACATGGAAGGTGTGTGCGTGTAGGAGCAGGACTATACGTTTTATTTTCTCTCAGGC